CTAACAACAAAGAGAAAAGGTTGGTGGTCTGTCTCACTTTCAATGAAAATATTCAGATGCTTAAATCAAAGGGCTTTCCACAGCTGTTGAGCTAATAGGCAATAGCTGCATGAAAGGTTCGATCTCCATTGATGATCTCTCTCCTACTTGTGTCATCTCTGTTTATGTCCTTTCTGGCTAAGAAAAGCCTGTTCTCCTTGTGGTTGATGTCCAAGGTGACCCCTGACCAACAACCCTGACCCACCCAGGTTAGTCTGGGCTGATGCACATGGTGCTCAGTGGAGACCTTTTTGTGCCTATGGTAGCCCCTACTCACTTGGCAGATCCCCTGTAGCTCTCAGCACACAACAGATCAGAGGCTCTAAGTGAGCCAGGTGGTGGGTAGGAGATTCTCAGTAAAGTAGGGGGTAAGCACTTTTTCCTAATCCCTTGGGAATTTCTCCTCCGATTACTTTCTGAAAGCTGCCTAAACCCGCTGCTGTAGCCATCTGTCCAAACTTCCAAACACCCACCTCATGTACAAAGCAGAGTGGAGGTCAACTCTGCTTATAGAGGAAATTAATGATGACCTCCTTTGTGTCTAAAAGCACATTAAAGTGGCTGGCTGACTGTGCCCTTATCCTCTCAGTGCCTTTGTATTCTTGGAAAGTTTCCTTGCATCCACTTTATCCATACATAGTGTCATTGGCTGCTAATAGTTCTCTTGCCTTGCTTTTCATCCACTCATGAATTGCTTCCAGGCACAACTTTCTTGGTCTTCCTCTTTCTTTTGACTTATGAAGGATTCTTCCTTCATATCTTTTAGTCCTCGTTTGTTCTATTCTCAAGCACATCTGTATTGTATAACTCACTTAAGAATTCAGTCCACATTCATTTTCCACCATACATTCTAGACTCTCTTTTTTCACACACATTTCTTAGAGTCCCTATTCTGAATGCATTCCACTGACTTTCTTCTTTCGCCTGACCTGCCCAATTCTCACTGTCATATAACAGTGTGAGCAGAATTATACTGAATCATTCTGGCAACAGACCATATATCACTGTCTTATGACAAGCATTTGTGGGCCTTAAAATTTCTCCATCCTTTTTTTGCTCTTTTGCCTACTTGCTGTAATTTCTGTGAGGAAAGGCTGATGGCTATGAGTCCAATTCATAGCAGAAAAGGAGAAGGTCATGAAGACAGTGTATGGTTTCCAAATTGTGTACCAATATCAGAAAGTCCAAAGTAATACAAGAGAAATGAACCTATTTCAGGTCTTTTAAGAGTGACCATCCGACTCCAACCTTGCCTGGTGCTATCCAAAAGTACTCTTTTCTGGACTGATCTGGAGAATTTCCAAAATGGACTTTGCTTCTATTTCTATTGATACCTGTGGGATTTTGTAGATGCTCAGCATGGTTGAAATGTGATTAAAGAGCTCAGAATCAGTCCCTTCTAGAACGGCCAAGATATTTTTTCTTCTTCCACAACTGTAGTTTGGGGTGTTCTCCTGCCCCATAGAGAGAAAGTCCATCATGGCCTCGTATGTTATTAAGGCGTTGAAAAAGTTCTCATAGATGTTGTAGCCCAGGGAGCTATTGTGGAGCAGTCTAGGACTCTGATTGATCTCATGAGTGGCAAACAAGAAAGGCAAGGCGTGGCTGAAGCTCATACTCCTTATTCTACAAGAGAAGAGATATCAGTAGGTTTTCCTCTTCAGTTTATAAAGACATGTTGTATTGCCTGCAGCTGTTACTTGAAAGATTTCTGGCACTGGTCAATTCAAGTTTAGACTTAGAACCACCCTCGTGAAAATCCCACAGCCTGAAACATTGATGGAATGAGGACGAAATGGGGCACCGTATAAACGTGCAAAGAAGCCCCATCCCTGGTAGCCTTTTGGAAAGCCCTGAAAATGGGGTTTTCCAGCAAGCTTGGGTATCCCTTATGGAGACTGCAAGATCCTTGTATTGTGCTTAGATGGCTGTAATTCTCCTGCAATCTTGCTTTTTATTTATGTTGTTTATGTTTATTGTTTTAGTGGTTGTGACGCTGTTTTAATTGTTAGTTATACACCACCCAGAGCCATGTCCTGTGAGATGGGCAGCCACATAAATTTGTTCTCTTTTACAATGATTCCAATCTAATAATTTATTTCATACTTCCCTTTTTTACTCTATATGCCTTAGTCTAATTATTTACTCCCGTTGTTGTTTGACCAGAGACCCAAGATTACAGTCTCTTCTTTCCCACAGCATAAAATGCTGTTGTGTTAGTTAAATATTTTTCATTAAGGTATAATTCTTGAAGCATATCAGTAGAAGGAAAGAATTGCCCAGTGAATTAATGATATTGATACCATCTGTTTTATAGTACTTATAGCACTGGATTCTGTCTGGTGAAGAACAGGAAATGATTTTTGGCAAATCTACTGTCATTCAGGCAGCAGGAGATTTCCCCGAACTTTAATCTGCATGTATGAGAAATCCTCTTTCCTTGGCAATTATATGAATTGAATTCAGAAATATCCGCTTCCAAATCAGATGGTTATTTCTCTGTCATAATCTTAGCACATGTCATACTCGTAGAGTCATTTCTCCTTGAATAGAAAATAAAGGTGTTCCTTTTAGAAGTTGGAAAGCATCTGGTGTTGATGCTTGTTCTTGCTGAAGAACTCAAAAGAAACATTTCAAGTTTTAA